CTCCCACCTTCAATACCACGACTGAGGTGCCCTTGAGCAAGGCACCGAACCCCCAGCTGCTCCCCGGGCGCCGCAGCATAAATGGCTGCCCACTGCTCTGGGTGTGTGTTCACGGTGTGCGTGTGTTCACTGCTGTGTGTCTGTGCACTTTGGATGGGATAAATGCAGAGCACTAATTCTGAGTATGGGTCAACATCACTTTCACTTTATATATATATTTTTTTTTAATTCTATGATGAAACTGCTGGTTTTGAATAATTAGTGTGCCTTTGTTGTTGTTTTTTTTTAATTATTTTTGATTTGTTGGCAAACCATCTGTAGATACTGATTCAGACACCAAGGACAAAACAGCATGCGTCACCAAAAGGGCAAACCAAAGTAGTCACTTTCTAACAATACAAAGGCCAAACCTACCCATAAATGTCTATAGAGGATGACCTTCTAGGCTGAGTTGTTAGTTTGGCACCTCACACATTCACTAACCTGTGTGTGATCTTGTCACCCGACCTATTGATCTGCCTGGGGTTGCGACAACTCAAGGGGCTGTGAAATATGGCAGAAGGTTTGTTTGGCTGTATTGCCCCAGTAAGCTTGGGGCTTGTGTGAGAGAAACACACCAGCAGCATTTGAGCTTGTTAATGCTTCAGTTCATCTTTGGCACAGACTTTGCGCAACTCTAGAGAGATGAGAAAAAAAAAGTTTAAAGGGGGTAAATGGATGGGGAATGGCAAAACTGTTCCGTCCAGTTTTTCACCCACGGAATCCAATGACATGACGTTCAGAAGTATATATTTAAGAGTCAGTTAAATATAGAGGAAGTAGTGAAACAGCTCAACCAGATAAATCATAGCCTTTGTCTGCGGTCTAACTGATTGCCTGCAAGTCTATTTAAATATGCTAGTCATCTTAAAGGGATACAGTAGTTTGCTCAAAAAAAAAAAATACCGTGCATTTATTAGTCACTCTCATGATGTTCTAAACCCGTATAATGTTATTTATTTTTATAAAAAAAGCAAAATGTATAAATATTTGAAGTATACATATAGTATAGCTTAAAAGCACCATTAAAAAGGCCAACTGAAGTTATATAGTAGATTTGCATAAGGAAACACATGGTATGTATGGTTTGTTTTTATTCTTATTAAAAATAGCAGTGTAATGAGTCTGACAGCATACTGGTTTAGAAAGACATAAGGGTGACATTTTAAATTTTTTTGGGTGAACTATCCCTTTAAGTAACTATCGCAGTATGAAACTGCTTTGTGTCCAGATGTCATTTTGGTAACACTGGCTTAAGTCAAACCTATCGGTGATTAAGCCAGATGGCAATTTAATATCTCACGGAGACAGCTTTTACTACTTAAGGAAATGGTTGCGGTTGCCAGGAAGCTCTCTTTTAAGGGCTGAAAAAGTTCCATGACAGTCCTGATATTCAACGAGGTCGTGGAGTACTTTGGCATACATCATATGATGTTTCTGTTTATCCCGAGACATCATAGTTAATTCTAAAGCCGCAACACTGATAGAAAATTCGTTTTGAACACATACGGCACAGTGAAACGCCGTTTAAAAGCTCAGGTGTGAAATTTTCCACCTCTCAAGTATATGTTAATCACATGCTGTGTCAGCAGACTTTAAGACAGCTGGAGACCAGGGCAGGAGTGGACCTGCAGAGCTAAAAGCCACTCGGCGCTTTTCAAGTCAAAGTGTTTTAGTCAGTTCTCAGCATTATGAATAACACATCATAAGGCTGTGGTGCTTATTGATCCCAAATGACGCAGACCCAGGAGAAGTCTGTGCATATGACTGACAGCTGTCTGAAAAGTGCTGCTGTAAAGTCTTGTGCTTCAGGATTTTGTTGCTTATTTTTATATTTTAAGTAAAAGAACCTTACAGTTCACATTTTTTATTGCATTTAGAGGTCAAACACTAAGTGTCAGAGAAAAAAAGTAAAAT